TATATAGATTTATATAGATATATCTATATAGCTAGATAGAGATAGAGATAGATAGAGATACTCAGGAAGCATTTTTGGATGAAAAATAAATGAGTAAACTTTAAGAGGTTAGGTAATAATTCTATATTCTTTTTCTAATACAACCATAGTCAATTCTATCTTCATTGAAACCTCCACAACTGATCAACTTGCAAATTTTATCTATGTTTTAATATCTCTCAAACATGTTTTTCTGTGTCTTCTCTCCTCTTTTCACTGCCAACTTAGTTCCATGACATTTCTTGCCTAAGATTACTGCAATAAATTCCTAAAGGTCTTCCTTCCTCTAAGCTTGCCTTCCTCTTTTCTTCAGAGTATTACAAAACACCGTGCTTTCCCATAAAAACTGAATGTGTTAGGAAAAACACCCATCTGCTGCTGCCCTTCCCCAGGCCCTGCCACTCGGCCTTCAGTTTCCCACAGTAACCGAAGCACATCACACATATTTGTCCACTTAGACTGCTCTCAGCCTTCCTTGATCTGTCCATCCTTTAAGACTCGGGTTCCTTCAAGAATCTTCCCTAGCCAGTCTAGTCGCAGATAGGGGCTCCTTGTTTGGCTCTTCTCTGTGCCCCTAGTACTCTGCGTGTCTTTTATCACTTGCTTCACTGGTTTATCACTGTGCTTACTTGTCTGATCCCCGTATCACATTGCTAACTAATTCCTTGAGACTAAGGACCACATGGCAGACACCCAGCAAAGTCATCCCTGATCACTATTACAAATAATTAATTGCATGGTGATCATACATTCAATATATGTTTAGTGAGAATATTTAAGAGCTTCAAGGTAGGACATAAGCAAAGATTCAACTGACTGAGCCCAAGCTGAGTGACTCAGTTGGTTGGAGCATTATCCCATATAACTAAAGGTTGCAAGTTCAATTCCTGGTCAGGGCACATACCTAGGTTGTGGGTTCTTTGGTCCCCAGTCAAGGCACTTGCAGGAAGCAACTGATCAATGTTTCTCTCTCACATCAATGTTTTTCTCTCCCTTCCTCTCTCTCTAAAATCAATAAAAACATGTCTTCAGGTGAAGTTTTGTGTGTTTTGTTAAAAAGCATTCAACTGAGAAAATTTTCATGGAAGAGATGGCATTTGGATGAGCAGGTCTTATCTACTACTTGTCCTCATAATCATTCATTGATTTCCACATGTAAACATAGACATTTCCAAGAAGTATTCTATTCTATATTTTAGTTTCTTCTGTGATTTAAGATGAAGCAACACCGCCTCTAAAACTGTACCTAAATGTGGACTTGCTTTTAGGATAAGCCTGAGTAAAAACTATGAAGAGATATTACTAAGGGCAAGTTTTATAAAAACTATTATCTAGTTTTAATTAAAAATGATCAAGGTCGCCGAAACCGGTTTGGCTCAGTGGATAGAGCGTCGGCCTGCAGACTGAAGGGTCCCAGGTTCGATTCCGGTCAAGGGCATGTACCTGGGTTACGGGCACATCCCCAATGGGAGTTGTGCAGGAGGCAGCTGATCGATGTTTCTCTCTCATCGATGTTTCTAACTCTCTATCTCTCTCTCCCTTCCTCTCTGTAAAAAATCAATAAAATATATATATATTTTTTAAAATGATCAAGGTCCTAAGACACCCTTTTGCCTTTCAGAAATAGCTTCACAAAACTATTTTAAAATGTAATGTTAACACATAAGAAGCCCACAGGTTAATGCTTAGACTGCTTGTATTTGTTAGCTCATGTTAGTGCTCTGTTCATTATAACTTGTAAATCCTAGTCAGGCTATATAGAAGGTTATACTCTTACCCTCCTCCCCATTTCCATACCCTAAGACACTAAAATAAACACATCTACATTGCACTCAGAATAAAAAAAACACATCAGAGTCACATAATTGAGAAATACATTTGTAAGTAGCAAACACTGATTAAGATTGTAGTTTTAAAAAGCACAAAGGTTATTTGTGTTTTTGTTTTCTCCTACAAAAGAATGTTTTTCTTTTTAAATTATGTGGGTACGGACATGTTTATTTTTACTCAAGTAAATTCTGCTGCATGAGTGGTGAGGCATTTTAAACCAATGCTTAGGTTGCTTAAGTTGTGAGGTATCTCTTATCATTATTATATGTAGATCTTTAAAATGTATGTTAATGAATCCACACTGAAAGAGAAAAATATTTTAAACTCATAGGGGATTCTCCCCCACCACCACCAACTCTACTTATTTGAAAGTATTATTATGAGATGGAAAATGAGTTAGTGTATATAAAAATTCTTTGGAAGTGCTTTAAAATGTAAACCATTTAAAAATAGCCTAATTAACCTTTGATCTACGCTAACCCCAAGCCAAAAAAAAAATTCACTAATTGCTCCAGATTCACCATTATCTACAAGCATTTAAATGCCTTGGGTACCCTTGGCCCATACAGGTTGCCTGTTTTTTTAGTTGAACTGTTACTCGGTCACAGCCACACCTATACAGTTAGGTATTGTCAATGGCTGATTTTGTGTTACAACAGCAGTTCAAATTGACAACAGAGACTATATGACCTGTGAAGCCTAAAATATTTACTATCAGGCCCTTTGAGTAATAATTTGAGGATCCCTGGTTTCAACTGTACTGCTAGCTAATGCTTTAGCATTATAATAAAAAAGCAGTTACTTATTGAACCCCTAAAACCAAAATGCAAAAGATGATTTTTCCCCTGTCAGGCAATTCAAAACTAAAGCTATGTAAAATGCTATGTTGGCCATTCCTTCATCAATTCATTATTTGCTAGCCTTGTTCTTACTCAGTTTGCATAAGAACAAGTGAAATTTCATTCCTATTTTCTATAAATTTGAAATCACTACATGATAAAAGATACCATTATGCCTCCTCCTGCTCCCCCACAGCAAAAGAATTTGAAATAGAAAGGATTTTTCTCTGTGATGGTGAAATGGGCCTTTTCTCTATGCTTAGTTCCCATCCATACTATCAAACAGAGACATTCCCTTTCCCTTTTTTTTTATTGATTGATTTACTTGCCTTGTTATTCACTTATACATTTCTTTAAATTATACATAGCATGTACTTAACTAGTCATTAATGAGCATAATGGAATTTACATATTAGGAGAGGTGGCTATAACTCAAAAAACAAAGGAAATGACGGAACAACTCTGAGAAGTTCGACTTATCTGAAGTAGAAATGTGTGCTACTTATACTTTTATGCACAGCCGTAAATTTTTAGAATGTTAGAACGAGAATGTGTTATGGAGTCAAAAGTAGTTCTCAAACTTCAATGAGCATTAGAATCATCTAAATGGCTTGTAAAAATATAGAATGATGAGCCAGCCCTCCAGAGTTTCTGATTCAGGAAGTCTGAGGTAGGCCACAGAATTTGCATTTTTAAAATGTTGATGCTGATGCTACTTGGGGGAGACCACACGTCACAAACACCTATATCACAGGAAAGGATGGCTAACCAGGCATTCCCTCGGAGAGTTATCAGGACAGTGCATGGTCCTCAGCCTGTTAGCATACCCAGGGGAGGTCAGACACTGTGGCCCATACTATTCAAACCGAGAAACAGAACTAAGCCAGCCTTACTAAGCCCCATTTCCTGTGGCTGATTGTGAACCAGGCGCTTGGGATGGGAGGACATGGCCTCTTACACCCGATACTTTGATGGAGAGCCTGACAAGTTCTATGATTCCATTTATATGAAATTCCAAAAGAGGTAAAACTAACCTTCAGTGGTGGGGAGGGGAAATCACAATAGTGGTGGCCTTGAGGGTGATAGCATAGGGATTGACTTTTGTAAGGAATTTGAGGGGTTTGGGGGCTGATCAAGGAAAAGGATATGCCCGTTGGACAGGTTGCATGAGAAAGGAAGTCCCTCACAGCAGGAGACTATCTAGAGGTTTGTGGCCAAAGGGCCACCATCTGGAAGGGGAGGAGGGCAGGGAGTCCCTGAAGTGATGGAGATTGAAGAGGCATCTCTGGAGAGCACACGTCTAGATGAAGTTGCTCAGTAGCAAGTTCTGGGGTCTCTGGGTCGCAGAGCTCCAGAGGGTGGTAGTGATGTGGCAGCTTACCACCACAAGGCTTTATCTCGTCAATGGATAGTAAATGTTGGGCATAGTTTTGTGGAGGATGCAAAGCAGGCAAGCTATACATGGCTAAAGATCGGTTTGTTTGGGCTAGTTTTAAAAATAATTGGGTGTATGAAAATTTGAGTATGGTTCCAGCAGACTTTTTAGCTAATGGGTTTCAGTCTGCAGTGAAGAAATAAACAACCCAGGAACCAGTACATAGATGCCATCTTCAGCTAATCTATATAATAATTGAGAAGGGAGAAGAGGAAATTGTTTGGAGAAGTAATAATGTTCTCCATCTTGATGAGGGTTTAGATTATACAGGTGAATACATTTATCCAAACTCAGTGAATATACACTTGAGACTTGTGCATTCATTGTACATAATATTTTGTTCAAGGTTTCATGTACATTTTACTTTATTTTTATTTTAATAAAATTTATTGAGTTAACATTGGTTAATAATATAATATAATATAATATAATATAATATAATATAATACAGTTTTTTCATTACAAATATTCAACTCTAGTTAATGGTATGTATGCTGAAGTATTTAAAGGGAAATGTATTGCTGTATGCAGTTTACATTGAAATGCCAAAAATAAAATGGATTAATGAGTAGACGGAAGGACAGATAGTTGGGTAGTTATGTTAAAGCAAGAATGTAATTTGGGGTGTACCTGTGTTTATTATAAAACTTCAACTTTGCTTTATGTTTGAAACATTGCACAATGAAATGTTAAAGACTACTGTGTGGAGATAGACTGGGAGACCAGTTGGGAAACTGCCATCGCATTAAAAAATTTACAGAATTTGTATTTCTTGACCGACTGTAAGCTATAATTTGATAGACAGTCAGCCCTATGTGTGATCATTTGACCAAGGTCTGTGGTGTTCGCTGTTGCAGGGAAAGTCCTTCTGCCAACATGGACACGGGTGCATTTCTGTCATCATCTATGTGCTCCAATAGGACTCTGCTAATTGATGGCCGAGTAGAACTCAAACGAGGCCTGCAAAGGCAGGAGCGACATCTTTTCCTGTTCAGTGATCTGTTTGTTGTGGCCAAAAGCAAGTGAGTATACCCTACACTCTCCCAGTTATCATTATAAAATTGCACTTCCACCAAAAAAGAAACTTTTCTGGTCAGAGCTCACTGTAAGAATGTCTGGGTTCCATTACTGTAGCTAATATCTGAAGGGAGTTTTATGTTTGCTTTGTTTTTGCAAAATAACCTTTCAACAGTTTATTCACTCAGCGAGTGTTCATTTAAGTCCCCCTCTCTGCATAAACATGGAAGACACCATGAAAAATCTATGGGTATGGTCCCTGCTTTTTTGGCACATTCATTCTAATGGTTGTGGGAGGGCAGTAGTTACAGATTGTGGTTAGTGCTATGAATAAAATCGGATGCTACATGAAGTGAAAATGGGATACATGTTAGGTAGGTGTACTCGGGGTGGAGGGATCATTGACGGATGAGAAGAAACAGCCATTCAGATATTAGGAGGATGAGCAGGCTAGGAAGAAGGAATGCCAGGTACAGCGGTCAGGGGGAAGCTTGGGCCTTGGAGGAGTTAAAAGAAGGCCTCTGTGTGTAACGGAGCACAGTGGGCAGGAGGAGCGTCATCTGAACTGAGATTGGAGAAATAGACAAGGATCAGGCTATCAGGACCTCTGCAGGCTGTATTAGTTACCTATTGCCATTAACAAATCACCCCAAGATTTAACAGTAGGTAACTACAAACATCTCATACAGTTTCCCTGAGTCAGGAATCTGGGAGTGGTTTAGCTGTGGTTCTGGCTCAGGGGGTTTCATGAGGTTGCAGTCAAGCTGTCAGCCAGGGTTACAGTCATCTCAAAATTCGACTGGAACTAGAGAGTGGACTTCCGGGCTCACTCACGTGAATGCTGGCAGGCCTCAGTTCCTCGCTGCTATGGGCCTGGGGCTGTAGTTGTTCATCTGGGTCTCCATAGAGCTGCTCATAACATGGTATTGCTTCCATGGAGTGAAATATCCAAGAGAATGAGGACAAGAGTAGGCAAATGTGCTGACTTTGGAAATGGCATACCTGATGTATTCCATGGGCCACACAGACACCGTGGGCACAGTATGGAAGGGAACTACTCCAGGCTGTGAATATCAGGAAACATAGCTCACTAGAGGGCCATCTTGGAGGCTAGGTACCACAAAGGCTATGATGCAGAGTTTGTATTTTATTCCAGAAGGTTTAGGGTAGTAGCATGATGTGGTTCCTAGTTCTAAAATATTGTTCTGGCTGTGATAGTTCACGGTGGATTAGAGAACAGGCACAGGGAGAAGCAGAGGCTGGAGAGGAGGTTATTGTAGTCATTGGAGGAGAGGCAATGAGGTCTCTATCTGGGGAAATGGCACTTCAATGGGGAATACAGACATATTCTATGTGTTTGGATTTTTTTCTCGACAATTATGACAATATTTAGAGTGGAAGTCTTTTGTTTTCTTACCTGACATCATTGTTCTGATTATTGCTAGCATGCAAGTGGTTTTATGTAACTTATATAATGTTTTGCTAAAAAACCTGTCACATAAAGACAGTTTCTTTCCCCACAAGAAAATTGCTATTTTAGACATATTGGCAAAATCTGTGCCTGTCATCTACTTCTCACATAAGGTGTATGTCATTTTTTTCTACATACTGCTTTGGAGAAAACTGTTTATATCCATTTAAATGTTTTTATGAGATGACAAAACCTGTATCAATTGATTTAATGCTGTGTTTAAGAGATTCAGTTCATGAAAGATTATTTCAAGTACTTTTTACTTTCATTGGGGATATCAAAAAGTGTGAGTAATCTAAGTTAATTTGGCGGGGGAAATAAACCCAAGACCCCTGAGGTAGAGAGAACATGTAGGTCCGAACAGACGAAAGAGTAAGACTGAAGATAGAACCCAGCTGCTGTAGCTCAGCAGCTGGGCATCGAGCCAGGAATTAGGAAGCCACTGGTTTGATCTCCAGTTAGGGCACATGCCCAGGTGGCGGGCTCAATCCTCTGTTGGAGGCATGCAGGAGGCAGCCGATCAGTGATAGTTCTCTCTCATCAATTTTTCTATCCCTCCCCCTTCCTTTCTCTCTAAAAAGAAATCAATAAAAAATATATTTTTAAAAAAAGACTGAAGATAGAGAAACTGAAGGAAACTTCTCAGAAATATACTCCCATCCAGGGCTTTTGATAGATACATAGCGTTTAACAGCATAAATAAAGCCAGGAATCACCCTAACTGGTTTGGCTCAGTAGATAGAGCGTCAGCCTGCAGACTCAAGGGTCCCAGGTTCGATTCCGGTCAAGTTCCATTTTTAGTTTTTTGAGGTAGCTCCATACTATTCTCCACAGTGGCTGCACCAGTCTGCATTCCCACCAGCAGTGCAGAAGGGTTCCTTTTTCTCCACATCCTCTCCAACACTTGTTGTTTGTTGATTTGTTGATGATAGCCATTCTGACAGGTGTGAGATGATAATGCATTGTCGTTTTGATTTGCATCTCTCATATAATTAGTGACTTTGAGCATGTTTTCATATGTCTTTTGGCCTTCTGTATGTCCTCTTTCGAAAAGTGTCTATCTAGGTCCGTTGCCCATTTTTATATTGGATTGTTTACCTTCCTTTTGTTAAGTGAATGAATTAATTTTTTATGACAGCAGTAAATTTAAAATTGGCATTTTCACCCAAATGCAGTGCTCAACATATAGAAAAATAAAGTAGCCAGTTTATGGCTAAATGCAGACATGAGGACTAATACATGTAATGTTTCAAAGGCATTTTGGGGCGAGGGTAGCCAACCATTTTACAATTCACTGTGTAGGTAAACACTGAAGATAAAAACAATGAATAAGACAGTCTTTGTCTCCTTGATTTTTTTAAGCCATTCTCTTGTCACATATTCAGAAACTCTCATAAAATTTAAGAAACAAAATAATAAGTCCTGACTGGTTTTTATCTTTTTAGGTATAACAACAACTTTAAGATAAAAAATAAAATTAAATTAAGTGATATGTGGACAGCAAGTTGTGTGGATGAAGTGGGAGAAGGCAACACCGATGCCATGAAATCATTTGTAGTGGGCTGGCCAACTGTGAACTATGTGGCCACTTTCAGGTAAGAACATAGCTTGTACATGGGTTAGCTACTATTAAATACAGCCTACTATGTAATTTCTAGGATGGAGAGAAAAAAATTAATCAATTTTTTTCTAAATGTTTAAAGGAAGATATTTTATTCGGATTAAGTTATTCTGAAGTCAATGACTCGTCTTTTGATATACCCCCAAATAAAGACACTTGTAGGCCATATGTTTCTCCCAAAGATCTTTTTATTAAAATACATGAGAAGTAATGGTAAATATTGAGAACTCTGGGAGTCATTCATCTTGTTTGATTAGTGATTTCCAAAGGGGCTCTACAGAACCACTTTCAGGGCCATGGGAGAGGAATAGAGTATCAGAGATCAAGGATCCCCTCTCCAACGTTCCCTCTCCTAATGTTTAAGTATTGTTGTACATATTGTGCTTTTGAGTTGGACTTTTCAAACCACTGAAATAAATCTTTACCGAAAGGAATTTTATAAAATAGTCTAATTACGTTTGAATAAGTGTTTGATATTCCCAAATTTTCTAAAGAAATTGTTTTTAACTATTGAAATGAAATTAATATCATGATATAAATGGGTGCCTGAATTTTACATCAGGTTCTGACTTAGTATCTATAGAGATGTGACCGATTAAAAGCAAATTTATGATTAAAGAAGTCAAAGTTACTTTTCTAAGATTCACTCCCTGGCTAGGATGGAGTTGGAGAAATTGTGAATGGAGAACCTTTGTGCTCTTATCCTTAACATGCTAACTTGGCACTTTTCAGTGCAGGGCACACCAAAACAGGTAATTGAAATTTTTAACACCTGGACCTGCATGGCCAGTATTTGTTTTACACTTAAGGAGTTGGTGTTCATCACATGCATGTACTGTTTTTCTTCTTGCTTCTTCTCACCGCACTACCACCAAACTCTTCGGGCATCATCTTAAAAGCCAGATAACTAAGACCTAAGCTACTAATCTTCAAATAAAGGAAAGGCATGTCATTAAATTGGGTTGTGCACTGTTGGCCAACACAAGAGTTTAAGAACTTATTTGGCAGAAACATGTTTTTTATCATTTTCTCCATATCTTTTTTCTATGATGATTTCTCTAGATATTATCATTTTCAATTGCTTAATCTCCTTGGAGTTACAGGTGGAAGGAAGCAATTTCGAGTGACGGGGTGGGACTACATGACATCTTTAATCAAGGAGTTTCCCTAAAACTTCTTTTAAGAATGGAAAATAAATATGGAGACAAGTATCACATACATCAGTGATGGTGAACCTTTTGAGCTTGGCGTGTCAGCATTTTGAAAAAACCTAACTAACTCTGGTGCCTTGTCACATATAGAAATTTTTTGATCTTTGCAACCATAGTAAAACAAAGATTTATATTGTTGATATGTATTTTATATATTTAAATGCCATTTAACAAAGAAAAATCAACCAAAAAATGAGTTCGCGTGTCACCTCTGACACGCATGTCATAGGTTTGCCATCACTGACATACATTGTTTTCCTCAAAAAGTAGAATAATTTGACCAAGGAATTAAGGTTAGTGTAACTAGCAGTGTCATGTGAATATTATGTATCCCTTGATAGAATGTGATGGAAAAAAAAAAACAACTCACCTATATGGTATTCCTCCCCAAAACACACAAGCACAGTCTAATCATGAGAAAAACATCAGACAAACCCAAATTGAGGGATATCCTATAGGTTCCCCGGAAATACCTATCGTAGTGCTCCTCAAAACTGTCAAGGTATTAAAAAAAGAAAACAGGGAAAGACAGAAACTAAGACCATACACTAAGGAGACATGATCACTAAATGCAAGATGGTATCCTGGATTAGATCCTAGAATAGAGAAAAACATTAATAGAAAAACTGGTGAAATAGTCAAGAGTTTAGTTTATAGCAGTGCACCATTATTGGTTTCTTAGTTCAACAAATGTGGGTGAGAGGTACCAGTATATAGGGACTTTCTGTACTATCTTTACAACTTTTCTGAAAAACTAAAATTATTTCACAATTAAAAGATCACTCGTTTAAAAAAGGAGTGTTGGAGAGTACTGCCTCTGGTGTGGCAGAGTGAGAGCTTAACAGGCTGATAACCCTACAGAGAACAACCAAAAACTGAACAAAATGCAAGCAATGACCTAAAGGTCTGCAAGGTGAATAGAAGTTGGCAGGTTTGGGTGAGGAATTGAAACTTGGCAAGAGGCACCAGCACTGGTGGGTGAGTTTCCTGTTTTTAAGGCATTAGCCTGAGGCAGGCAACAGACACACCACGTGGAGGGTAATTAAACCGACAAAAAGATCCAAGTCCTTTTGCTGAAGCACCGAAGGACGAGTGTCTGGGTCAGCCACAGCCACATAAAAGTGAGGAAGGAAATCTCAAAGAGGAGAGCGTCAGAGAAGTTAAGCTCCAAATTTTGTTTATTGACTCTACCCAAATCTCTAGGTAACTGCTGAAACGCGCCTGCATGGAACAGACTCAAAGCAACTTGAAGCTAAGGATAAAATAATTGAACTGAGGAGCTGCTGCCCATGGTGGGTGAGGTAGAGTTGCAGCTTGAGTCTGCTCAAGTTACTTGTCTGTTGAAACAGAAACATCAACACTGTTTGGCAACTATGACATAACTCAGCCTCCAAAACAAAATATTGTGATGTCCAGAATCAACCTAAAATTTCTTAACAAAGAAAAAGGAAAGGGAAAATATAGTTAAAAGGCTAATTCTGAGATGTTCCATATGTTGGAATTATCAGAAAAGAACTTTAAAGCAACTCTTAAACTCTGTTCAGTAGGTAAAAGGAAAGCAAATTGAAATAAATGAAAAGATAAGCAATATCAGTAGAGAAATAGAAAATATTAAAAAGAGCCAAATTAAAATTCTAGAACTGAAAACTACAACATCTTAAATTTTAAAATCCTGTGTGGCCTTAGTTGCAGAGTGGAAATGAAAAGAGAAGGAGCAAATTTGAAGCTCCTTCAAATGTGATGGAAAAACCCAATACAAATTGTCTGATCTGAAGAATAAGGTTAAAAAAAGATTTTTTAATGAAAAATGATTCAGAGACTTATTGGAAAATACCAAAAGGTATAATATACATGTTATTGGAATTCCAGAAAAAGAAGAAAGAGGGAATGAGGCATAATGAATAATTAAAGAACTAATGGTTTGAAAACCTTAGAGATTTGGTGAAAGACATAAAATGTACAGGTTCAATAGCTCATTGGACACTAAACAGGAGTATGAAGAAAACATCACCTTGTTATATTATAGACAACTGCTATAAACCAAAAATAAGAGAAAAATCTTGAAAATGCCAGAGAAGAAACAACAATTTGCATCACTGTGGGTTTTTCATCAGAAGCTATGGTGTTTTCAGAAGAGAGTGGAATGGCATCGTTAAAGTGTTGAAAGAAAAATACTTCAACCTAGAATACTATATCCAGCAAATATATCCCTCAGAAATGAAGGTAAAATATCTTTTTGTTTTCATTAAGAATTCATTGCCAGCAGAACTGTACTACAAGTTGATGCCAGTTTTTCAGCCTGAAGTGAAATGATATCAGAGGGAAGCTCAGATCTTTAGGAAGGGGTGAAGAACATCAGAAATGATATCTCAATCTCGGTAAATATTCAGAAAATCAAGGTCATGATCAGTTTAATATGCCATCAGGTCGTTGAAGAAGCGGTCACTCTAATATCAGTAAAGAAGCAAAACAATAACAGCTTTGAAATATCTGATTGACAAACAGCTGCCGGAATCGATGGGGCATTTCTAATTAAGTCAGATTGGGGGACGAGCAAACGTAAATGTGAACTCTCCACGCTTTACCTTGGGAAATGGGATAGATCAGCACATCTCAAAAAAGGCCGGAAGGAATTTCATATCTCCATCAATACTTGTACTTTGTTTCACATACATAAGCTCTGTGTCAACCAGAAAAATGGGCTCTGCACCTTGATTTTACAGATAACTAGATGGTAAGTCCTCATTTAACATCATTGATAGCTCCTTGGAAACTGACTAAAAAAAACATGTATAACAAAACTAAATTTACCATAGGCTAATATGTAGATATAAGCAAGAGGAAGTTCCTACAGCATAGTGCTGATCAAAAAAACACCACCAAGCTTCCAAATACAGACACAAAACACCTCTAATATTAAATATTGAAATAAGTCTGAGCTACACATACTGTAAAGGTTATGAAAACAAGAAAGGTAATTCTTTTTTAGCTGGCTTGTTGCAGTTGAGGGTCACAGGTGGCTGGAGCCAATCTTTGCATCTCAGAGAGCAAGGCAGGACCCAACTCTGGACAAGACTACATTCTCTCACAAGGTACACACACACACACACACACACACACACACACACATTCATTCATACTGGGACAATTTAAACATATCAGTTACATACAGATATGTTAACAGCCTACAAAATACACACACAGAGGCCTCAGCCAGGAATCACATTTTTTTCATCAATGTTACAATAAAACAATGTTGAACAAAACACATTATTCTAGGACCCAATGTATAGGAAAACTGGAACATTGTTCAAAAGACCCAGGCAATATTTAAATCTAAAAAAGGAATCAATATTTTAACTTATGTACCTAGTATGAATCTTAGTCTATAAACAGGTATGCAAGAAAGGCCTGTTTATATATAGATCAAATTAGAACCCATCTTGAGCCCGCATTGTGCTGGGCTGTTAAGAAATAAAATTTTCTTCCTTACTGGGACTCCTGTTACCAGTATATTGGGGTAGAAGCAGAATACGGGAGATTTCTCTGATGTTTCCAAAACAGATTAAAAACTTCTGACCTTCAATTTATTATGGTCATTATCTTTTTCTGTCCTAGTGTTGTTCTTTTACTAGTACATTCAGATATACTCCTTGCCATCTCTCTCTCTCTCTCTCTCTCTCTCTCTCTCTCTCTCTCTCTGCTAAATCCTTCACCCCTCTCAATACCCTCAGCGTAGATTTTTTTTCTTAATGAATTCAAAGTAGATATAAACAAACTTCGAAAATCTGCTGTTTAGGAAAGGGGAATACATCAAAAGATCTTAAGGAATTGTGAAAGATGAAAATTGCATGGTCACTGGTAGAAGATGTAATATACTTCCTGATGACCAGTCCTGGGAGATGGCCATGGAGAAAATTTCTAAGCAACAAAGTTAGAAACAAATTACAAATATTCATTAAATATATTTTTCTGTTACAAGAAAATAACTAGGGTTTCCAAGTTCTTTAAGATGTTTAGAAATAAGATTTTAAAAGCTGGTGAATAACAAGACCATACAGAAATAAACTTTAGGACTTCAAAAAATTATTAATCAATACTAATTTAGTTGTAAATGAACGGATGTTACTCAAAAGATTACGGTAATTAAGTTTTCTATGCACACCCGAGGAGGGTTGAGCAGCGCCTTCACTGTGAGTGCAGAGTCGGGACTGGACTGCCACCATGACACACGGAGATGGTGTCACTGGCCCTGCCCTTCCACCGCGAGGGCTCACTCCTTGCTGGTCACCCACCTCCATTCCCCGCCCTCTCCTCACCACACCACACACCCCATTGTGAATCGAGGCAGTGGTAGCACTGCAGCATTCTGAGCAGCAGCAATAACAGCGACTGGACACCAACCGCTGGGACCAGGTGGACTTGGAAGCCCCCAGGCCAGGCCCATGTGGCGCCCTCTGGCCCTTTGGCAGTCAAGGCCCAGTGTAAACACCTCAGCAGGGCCTTCAAGCCAGAAGGGAGTGGCATGAAATATTCAAAGTGATGAAAAGCAAGGACCTACAACCAAGATTATTCTACCAGAAAAGCTATCATTTAGAATCTAAGGACAGATAAGGACCTTCCCAACCAAGAAAAAGCTAAAGGAGTCCATCACCACCAAACCAGTATTACAAGAAATGTTAAAGACTTAAGAAAAAGAGGAGGAGGAGGAGCTCGAAAATATGAATAACAAAATGGCAATAAATATATATCCATCAACAATTATTTTAAATGCAAATGGATTAAATGTTCCAATCAAAATACATACGGTGCCTGAATGGATAGCAAAACAAGACCTTTATTATATATGCTGTCACTTCTGATTAAAAGACACACAAACTGAAAGGAATAGAGAAAGATATTTCATGAGATGGAAATGGAAAAAAAAGCCAGGATAGCAATACACCAGACAAACTATCTACCAAAACAAAGGCTATAGCAAGAGACAAAGAAGGACCAGCAATTTCACTATGCAGAACAGCAGACTCACAGATACAGAGAATATTTTAACAGTTGCTAGACGGGAGGGAAATTGGGGGATGATTGAAAAAAGTGAAGGGATTAAGAAGTACACATTGGTAGTTACAGAATAATCATGTAAGTATAGCAAAGGGAATATATTCAAAAATATTGCAATAACTATGTATGGTGTCAGATGGGTACTAGATTTATCTGGGTGATCATAAGTTATATAAATGTCTAATCACTGGGATGTACACCTGAAACTAATATAATATTGTACATCAACTGTAATTGAAAAATAAACGTTTATTTAAAGAAAAATAAATAGAAGAAAAGTTTTAGATGTATTTGTTTACCAAATTACAGTTCTACTATATGTATGAAGAAATAAATGCTGCTTTTCTTGGCTATTGGTATGCCAAATTTCTGCTTAATCTCTTTAATCTCAAGTTAAGCATACATTCCGTTTGAATGGCACTTATTGCTACCAGACACTCTGAGATAATTAGCCCTGTTTCACAGATGTGGAAACTGAAGCTTAGAGATGTTATGTGATTTGCCCGTCATCATATAGTTTACGTATATCCTTGAAATCAGATGTTTGGATTCTAAATCAAGTGCTCTTTCCACTATAAGAATACCACTCCTAGAAGAGTCATAAAGTAAGAAAATGGGTGTCTCTTGGATCCAGAAGGTTTTAATAAAACTGTACTTGACTGTACCGTTTTTCCTAACAGGGAGTTTCACTTCAGAGGCAAGGTTGCAGTAGTTTGCAGCTACGTCAGTAACAGCAGGCTGTGGATAGTTGATTGACTTAAATATGTTAGCATAAGTATTTTATGAGGTTTAATTTTTCTCTCCCATTTTATTTGCAGTTCCCCAGAACTGAAGGACAAATGGCTCTCTCTCCTTCAGAGGTATGTTTTTCAGTATACATATTTTTAATCTTTAACATAGTTAAATGAATGAAATTCATCTCTGCAAAGACCCCAAACTCTTCCCCTTTTCCTTAGTAGAAATTGTTCATTTGTCCTCAAAATAAGTTGTTATTTAGACTGTGCACGAGCTACTACATACTATAAATAATGTTTTCTCATGTCATGTATTTCTTTCTAGGAAGAACATTGAGTCTGGTTACTTATTTTAGACAAAAATTAGTAATGTTTTCCATCTCTTTTCCTGTCCCCAGCCTTACCATTTGGAGCTAACAGTTCCCTCAGAGCATGCATTAAATTTTCATATATGAAGAGTTTTCTGCTGAGCACCTTAAAATCAATCATTATTCCTACCTTTGAGCGCACAGACTAAAATGATCAGTTTAGGTTCATCTCATATTCCTGTAGTTCTTCCCTCCATTCTTTCCTCTCTCCCTTCCCAAGCAATGGGATCACCAAGATTTCCCCTCCCCTGGAGAGCTAAATGAGAAGTGAAAGGCCATTGCTTTGCTTTGGTCTGGTAAAGTATTATGCGTTTTCCTATACATAATTAAGGTGCTGGGCCTATCGAGAGAAAGTAGGGAAGCTTTGAGGATAAAACATCACCCAGAGACACCTAAACCTGACTGTGCTTCTCAAACCTCACACTGGAAGTGGATCTCCCGTCCTTTTTTGTGCCCATGCCTAGTGTCCTGAGAATTTTTTCTCTTCCAACCCATAATGTAATCTGAGTTTGCTGAGTCTTTCCATCTGTCTTTTTAAAAATACCATATAAGTATATTGAAAATATTAGCAAAATAGATTGACTTAAAAATAAGCTATTTAGCAAAAATCCATCTGACTCAGTGTTGTTTTGGGTTGTTGTTGCATTTGATTAGATACATCACTCTAGAGAAAGAGAAGGACTATCCGAAGAGCATTCCCCTCAAAATCTTCGCCAAGGACATTGGGAATTGTGCCTATGTAAGTGTTTCTAAGCCAGAAATTAAATTCCAAGTCCATGCATAAGGCAGAACACCATGCACAAAAAAAGAGACAGGCAGGCAGGCAGGCAGACTGTGTGTGTGCTATGCAAGGTAGGCATTTAGAAATAGCACTGTGGCAAAACACGTTTTCCTGGATATGTATGTGCCTTTGTATACATGAAAAGTAAACCCTAGAGGAAATGAAGCAAGAGAAATTCATAATAACTTGGGTATTTAACACTTACACTTGGAAGGAATATTGCTTGTCAGATGTCTGTCTTCCCTCTGCATTCATGTTTCTCTGGATCCTTTCAATGGCGTCTGTAGAGGCTTGTACTAAAGCCATTTCCACAGGGAGCCATTTCCTATTAGTATTAAGAAATTGTTTGCAGTTTATCATTTCTTAAGCAGAGAGTGGTTTCGGAAAGATCTTGGTTCTTTGGGGTTTTTAGGGGGATTGACTCCCTCAGGTCAATACGTGGGCGAGCTAGGGAAGGTGACATATTTGAGGGATCAGCACATTTCTTTCACACAGTTTTCATCATATTGGTCAAATAAAAATTAAGTCTACTTAATTCTAGTTATTATGTGTAATTCGAAGACTGCAGCATAGTACAAGTGTTAAGACGTTATCAGTGATGAACAAAATGGAAACTTATGAATATTTTTATTTTTACTATGAATTGTCATACTTCACAGCAGCTCTAGATCACACAGAATCATTTTGTGTGTGGAAAAAATATGTAATGCAAACAGTTGTGTTTGGGCCAAAAGCAAAAGTTATGCAAATATTCTGACCTGAGTGCCAGATGTTGCTGCTTGAGGGAAATAGTCAGATTTTTATGTATAAAGACTACAGAGATCTCCTGTAGCAAAATAGAAAGAATAAATAAATATATAAAACCATCTCTTTTTTCTGGTTTTGATTCAGTTGTGGCAATTGGTTACATTCAGGATTTTCATGGAAAATCCCTTGAACTTTTTTTTAACCCTTTCAGTGTATAGAAATGTGTGCTTGAGAAAGGACTGGTGGTCACTGTCATTTGGAAGAGAAGACACGCAAGGTGTTGGGGTGCTGTGTCTTCATCACTAGTGCCCCCGTTAAATCAAGGATATGACACACACTCCTTTGCTGTCTGAAGTTGCTTTCCGGCAGGGGTCTCTTTTCAAGGGAGCCTAGCTCCCAGAGAGAATGTGTGTATGGGAAGCATTCTATATCCTTCGCTTTTAGTTATATAACCTGTCAGTGATTCTGCTGATATGGAAAAACATAGCCAGGTTTTCAGTTTTGTCTGTTTTATTTGTTTACTAGCCGGAGAGCACTATCTGGTGAAATTCATTTGTTTTGTCTACCAGAAAGGCATGCACAGAAAAATACGCATCCTGTAATTACTGTCTGGGACATATGTGCCTAATATGAAGAAAAATTCTCTTAGAAGCCAGCCACCTTGGGAGTAATTATTAGTATTCCAGGATAGATTCCTCAATTCCTGAGAGAGTTTCTTTAAATTAAATGGAAGGATTTACAAACTTTTTTTAAAAAAGCAGAAGCCTTTCATGAAATTGTATCTTAAGTTAAAACCCAATATAAAACATCTTTGCCACTCTGGTCAAAGACAAACACTGGGTTGAGTGCTCTAAGCCCTCCCTGTTAGATCCTGAAGCACATTTGCATAATCCTTGGACCTACGTGGAGCACAATTTGAAATCAATAAACAAGCAACCTTAAGAGGCAATTTGTCATGTCAAGGGGTTCATAGAGGAAAAAATACTATAATGGAGGGATAAGTGATGAGTTTTCAATGGATTTAACTTAGCTTTGTTTTTATATAATTTTAGTTAGATGTCATTTTGTTTCTATTCTACTTATTTGTGCCATTTAAGCCCTATCAGTGACACTGCCTTAATTCCTGATTTATCTGACCATTATAATAGTAAATATTTCTTTTTTGATAGTATTGCATTGTCTTAAACAATGTCATGGAATTCAGTTAACACTACAGCTATCTCAGAATCTTGTTACTCTTCTTGTTTGTTGCAAACTGTCTTCCTGTTTTTAAGCAGTAGTTTCTCAATTGGTTTAGCACAGAGCTATTATAGATAACCCTATTCAAAGGCAGAGCTGGTAACAGAATTAAGCTTTCTAACATTTCAGTCCTCTTTGCTAGTCTCATTGGTTTTAAGGCCTTTACAGATTGCAACAATGAAAATCCTAATAGCCCCAATGCCTGACATATAGCAAGTGCTCAATAGTATTTTTTAAAAATTCTAAACTGTAAATGTCTTTAATAACCAGTTATTTTATGATTTTACCTAAACTGACTATTTACCTTGCAAATAAATAAAATCCACACTATGAAAACAGTACTCAGGGAGAAATAGAAAGTGATCCAGCTCTCTCCCTCTTTTATCACACGTTGCATTATGGAAATACGATTCTGGAGATGACACAGGGGCCCAACCTCATTGATTTCTTTTTGGTTGGGAGGATGGTCTATATACTTTGTCTAAAATACATTTACTCTGTTTCTTTCTTGCTTGCACTCTTAGATTTGTGAGCCACATATTCTTTACCTTAAGATAAATAGATGTCTTATTAAAGGCGTAATATATAATGGAATGCAAGTAAGTTATAAGCAAGAGTTGTTTTCTAATTAAGTCACGTGCTTTTACTCTGTCAACGCTGGAAATCAAGATTTGCCTTGAAAGAATCATTTGACAATAATTACTTGTTCACCTGTTTTTAAGTCCTTTATTTATAGCTGTATTTCTTATTTCTTTTTTTTCTACAGTCTAAAACTATAACAATAACGAATTCAGACACAGCGAATGAAGTTATCAACATGTCTCTCTCAATGCTAGGGATAACTGTAAGTCACTCTGCTGGGTAGCCTAATCAACACACTTTGAAACTTTAAGTTCATGTAGATATCATCCCTCTCATCATAAGACAGCTGATTGCTAGAGATACAAAAGTCATACTTTGTCCCCAAAAATGTAGAAAATGAGGACAGTAACGCTTTAATATTAGCTTAATATTGGGTGCTATTCTTCTACGCCCATTTTAAAAACTGTGCAAACTGAAAAGCATAAGATTTTACACTAATTTTAGAGTGCTAATAAAATAATATATATTATATTGCATATGCTTTATACAGTTGGAGAGTTTTGGGGTATAAGATTCTTAATAAGAAAATTTCAACCTCTTTCTCCTTTCCCACTTGTCACTCTCTGACTATTCTTTCCCCATATCTTCTCCTAGTTCTTTTCCCTTACCTAATAGTTATTCTGATTGTCCCAAGAATCAGTAAGCCTTAGGGTGAAGAATTCGGAAGGATTTGCTATGTAGTAGAATTTTTACATAAAGAACACAGAGCTAGAAACCTGCAGGTCCAGAGGATGAGATGGCTGGTACCTCTAATGAATTGGTAATTTTAAAAACAAGCTTTGAATTAGATCAGGAATTTAAAGAGCTTTAGTCTGCATGCCACATTTCCCCCTCTTTTGCTTTTATCTTCTTTCTGTTTTATTGGGTAAAGACACATTTTGAAATTTTATTAATGGTACAGATTGGAATATTTGAGGATGAGGCAGGGGGAAAAGAACTGGAAAGTTCTCCTCATCTCCTCCCTACCGGTATATAAACACCATTCAGTGGATACTTTTATTAAAGGGAGTGACTTTCAGAAGAAGGGAAACTAAAGGATGCGCTTGACCAATACCATTTCTTAAGTGAGGTCTTCTATGTAAACATGGTGTTACTATGAGGTGACATATGTCATATGGTTAACTATGTGCCATAGTCTTATTAATTATATTTAGATTTGCTTTTACATAATGCCATAGTAAGCCTTTAAAACCTCAGGACTACCAAAACTTAGGATAAGAAATCTGATTTCTTTTAATTAAATGTAATAATATATTGTAAATCTAATTTCTTTTTTTCATTTGTACACTATACCTTGTGTTCAGCACCCCAAGTCAAGTCTCCTCCCATCACCATTTATCCCCCCCTATTCCCTCCCCCACGTCCCCTCTCTCCATTAAGTTTATATGCATTGAGTGAAGAATGCATCTCTGCATTGAGTTCTAAGCTTATAGAATTATGTCTTGGAAGAGAATAAATTTAAGGGGAAGGAAAGGATTAATTAAGACCTGATTCATTTTCTTATTTATGCTTTTCCTTTGGATAAACCAATCCATCTCCTCAGACCAAAAGTGTTTCTATTTGGTATAATGATTTTCACACTTCTAAAAGATTATTACAGTGTTTCCAGACATTACCCAAAAAAGAAAGGATTTTTATTAAATTGCTCCTCCCATTCACAATAACATTTCTTGACTAGGAAGTGAGGAAGAAAGTGACAAATAGACTGGAGGAGGGGAAAGGATGTATATTCTCCATAGCCACTACCCTTCATTATAAGGTCAGGGTCATAATTTTTTTCTCACCAGAGAACATATTTTTTTTAATTAATTTTAGAGAGAGAGAAACATCAGTTGGACCCACAACCTAAGTATGTGTCCTGACCAAGAGTCAAACCCGCAACCTTTTTTTTTTTTAACCTGCAACCTTTTGATGTACAGGATGGTGCTCCGACCAACTGAGCCATCAGGCCAGGGCAGGGCCATGATTTTTAAGCAGAAGATAAAGGCAGGGATATTAGTATTGCTAATCTTTTCTGGCTTCACTTTAAACATTTTTGCTTTTTTCTTCTTCTAAAGGAGACAGCACAGTTTGTATCATTTAGTGTTATTTCTTTGAAGTTGGGTTATAATTCTGCTAGTGAACAATTTCATTGTTTCCCATCACTGGGTCAACTCTCCAGACAGAATTCTTGTCCTTTCTGTCCCCAGGACTGAACTTGCTTGTCCAAAACTAAGCCAGTGTAGATTGTGCCAGCTCCTCTCTCCTCAAAGCCTCTTGGTCAATCTTCTGCTCAGAAGCAGCTGAGCTCATAGTCAGCCTTTGAGAATTTTAGTTTTTCATCACGACACTACAGTGTCTGTGGCTTCCTGGATGGCAAGGTTGTTTTTTTAGGTGCATTTTGGAGATTAAGTCGAATATTCTCTGAGACATCATAGCTGGAGCCAGGACTCTAAAGACGACCTTAGTCTTTCAGAAAACCAGGAAGTTTCTCTTCCTTTGTGACTGCACATTCCATGGGCTGCCCATAGAGTGAGGCTCTGATTCTGTTGCAGCTCTTGGATTAGGAGCCATTGCTAGGAAAAGGGGCAGGATTCCGGAGTACTCTGTTGGGGATTGGAGAGAGGGGAGAAGGGTTGTAGGAATTAGCACTGTCTTCTTCAAACACTATAATCACTCCCATGAATCTGAAAGTATTTATATCGTTTCCATTTTTTTGTTGCAAAACATAAAAATGCCAAAAAAAATGTGTCTTCATTCAATCACTAGACTTAAAAGAAGTATTGTTAATTCTTTTGTTTCCAAGGGCTCTGACAGAGATTACCAGTTATGGGTCAATTCTGGCAAAGAAGAGGCACCTTATCCACTTATTGGTAAGTTCCTGTGAAGATCTAAGATAGGATTGATTGTGTTTTAATTATAATCCTAAATGTCTCAGGGATCTGGTCATATGATCTAAAATTTGAATACTCTTAAATATCATATAAAAGTCATTTATTCATTTAATCAATATCTATCAAGCATTTTCTATGTGCTAGACAAGTATCTCTTCACTCAAGCAGCTAATAGTATAGTAAGGAAGAGAAGTGTAAATTGTCCTTTATTCTTTTATTTGACAGAGCGCGCTAGCTTGCCAAATCTTTTTAATTTATTTTCTATACAAGAAAGCAATATGTATTGGTCTTCCTTTTCTCCTATATTTTTGTTTTTACATTTGATTCTTAAATTTCCTACTCCCTTTCCTACCTATGAAGTTGCCTCAGTAGAAGACCATCCAGAATCCAACCATGCCTCTTAATCTCACAGAACTTGACTAGATGTCATAAAGAAAATGATATTAACCCATTTAGATCCCAAAGAATCTTCACTGGCTTGCCAGCTAGCTAATACTTACCGCTGCTATTTCTCTAACCAAATTTCTCAGCTTTTGTTTTGAGGAATTACTGGTAAATAGTTCACCTCACGTTATTTAAATCATTTAACTAAAAATTTTCTTATCAGTTAAGGTGATTCAATGTGGTTAACAAATTGAGCAATTAAAAGAAGGGACAGTATATGTAACAGATCTTGAGATTATTACAGTGATGATGTTGATGGTGATGATGAGTTCTGTTAATTTTTAAATGCTTACTTTCTGCCAGACCATTTTCAAAACATCATTTGCATTATCTCATATAATCCTTTCATTTACCTGTGAGGTAACTATTGTGTAATTCAAATGTTTCAAGTGACCTGAATAATCTAAAATCCAACTTTTCTACTAAGTCAAACTTCTCTACAAAAGTTTTAATTATTCTCAGACTGAAAATAAAGTAATCATTTCCTGATTCTTTTTTAATGTTACCATTTTTTACAAGTCAATGAGTAGCAATTACAAAGTTGTGCTTAAAAAATCAAATAAATACTTAAAATTAGTTTTAATGAAATTAACGTATTTCATTAAACATCTTGTAAATGGTAACTGTCGGGCTTAAAACAGCTTCAAGCTTTATCCCTAACTCTTGCTAAAAACCATGGAATTTAGGATGTGATTGTTATTTAACAGCAGTTCTTCATATACAGTGGGGCCCTGACTTACGAGTTTAATTCGTTCCGCGACCGAGCTAGTTAAGGAGCTCGTTACCTCAAATTACTCTGTCAACTCAATGCAAAAAATCAGCCAAGAGACAGCTGGTAGCTCAAAAAACTCATTAGTCAGGACACTCGTAAGTCAAGGCCCCACTGTATTTTAAGGTGCCTTACAAACCTCAATTGTGGATTCAGCTAATCTGAGTTTGTTTTAATCCCTGGAGCCTGTGATATTAATGGAATATTGACATTGTATGCCTATGCCAGGTAAAAAGGGAAAGGAAGTGTTCACTGAGTCACATTCAGTGATAAATCAGGAATAGAAGAGAACTTACTCTCTGTACTTCAAAGAGGCTGAATCTACAGCACAATGGTACTTGAGGATTAAGTTGAGAAAATGCAATTACTTAGAGTACTAAAGAGCAAAAACTCATATTTCAGCCAGATGTCCAGAGTTTAGCTTTTCTAGTTTACAGGTTCTTTTTTGCATCTTGTTTCTGTTACTGATGCCCTGCAGTCTCCCTTCTGATTGTTGCCTATGACACCAAGCCCAGACAGCAGCAGCACGAGGGAAGCATAAGCCAAACAAACCTGGGCTGATGCCCCTGAGTAACTGATTGTATAACTAATAAAAAGTAATGAAATGTCTTTTTCAGACACACATCTCGTGTTGAATAATAGTAATGAGTGATGCTTGAAACACGTAGTATTTTTCCCTTATTATTAAAGTTATATTAACCACTGAAGTTTACTTATTTGATCCTTATAGTATTGTGTGTGGGTAAGACGAGTATATTAAGCTATGGATTTGAGGGTGGGAGAGATCAAGGATTTGCTGAAGATTTACAGATATAGTTAGCATCAACAAAAACCTGGAATACCTTAGATGGAAACATAGGAAGCATCGACATTGTGCAACTCACAAACCAATCTGTGCATTCCAAGTAGAATACTCTTCAAAGATTAGCTTCTCCCCCTCTCCCCATCCCCTTAACACTACTTTGGTAGGGCCACCTGCATTATGCAGCGGTCTCCAGCTGTAAGAGTGTGCATGGTGATCATTCAGTCAACAAAAGGACTCTTTCTACCAGAAGTCCCAGGAGCGAAGTGCAGTCCGTTCCAGTATGTAGCACACGTGCTCAGAGTACCAGCCAGCATCAGGCCCACATTTAGTTCTCTCTCTCTGTGCAGGGCATGAGTATCCGTACGGAATCAAAATGAGCCATCTTCGAGACACTGCCCTCCTGACACAGGAGTCAAAGGACTCCACCAACCCTTCCAGCCTCCAGGAGCCCTTCCTCATGGAGCAGCTGCCCCGGGAGATGCAGTGCCAGTTCACCCTGAAGCCCAGCCGCCTGGCTGCGGCCCTGCAGCTGAACGGTGAGTCGCTGCTCTTCCTTCATAGAGCCTTTGATTACCAAAAGTTTTTATTCCTGAAAACAAAGTTTGCACAAAGGCAAAGATCCAGACTTCAGTCAGAGGAGGTATTTTTTTCATTTGAATTTGCTAAGTGTTTTGAAGGGAATGTTTTGAAGACATTTTAAACATCAGCAGTAGGTGTGACTAATTTAGAATCAGCAGTACAGTCTGTTCCTTCTGTCATCACTACTCTTTCCCCTTTGACCTCATGCCCACTATAGAGCCAGGGGCACCAGGCAGTGCTGCAGGTGCCTCAATGCCTCCTTTGTACTGTAGCACATTGCACTGTGTGTTCCCCTAACTAGTCTTATTATAAAAAAGGAGGATGTCCGTGATGGGAGCCAGGAGACTCTGATGCCCTACGTGGATTTGGTACTGAGTATGCAAGACTAAGTGATTTCCACAGAAATCTCCCCTTAGTCTACTAATCTAATCTGAATTCCCTGTCACATAGCCGTCTCTTGCCCTCCCCATCATAAAGAATGATAGTGATGGTCAGCATAGGAGGACTGTCATTTACCCTTAACCCAAGTTTGAGCTTTAAGCCCTCCATCAATCTGAAGGTAAGATTGTATAAGAAACAGAAGAAAAAGGATACCATCAAGTGTTAATGAGATAGCAGAAAATCAATGCTGAGTTTCTGTAGCTGCCTTTCGTACCAATGGAGGGACCAATGAACAGTGGCAGCTATTTTATATGCACCTCCCCACACATGAACATCCAACTTTATCTTTTTTGAACTATTTTTATTATTGACACTATTATAGATGTCCCCCATTTTCCCCTTCCTTTACCCATCTCCATCTAGCCTCTACTCCCCATCCCTCTGGCCATCACCACATTGTCGTCTGTGTCCGTGGGCTATGCATATATGTTCTTTGGCTAATCTCTTCACTTTTCATCCAGTCCCCTCACCCCCATTCCCTCTGACAGCTACCAGTCTGTTCCATGTATCCATGCCTCTGGTTATATTTTATTTGTTAGTTTATTAGATTCCACATATAAGTGAGATCATATGATATTTGTCTTTCTCACTGGCTTATTTCACTTAGCATAAAGTCCACCCAATGCTGTCTCAAAAGAGTTGCTTCTTTTTTACAGCTACGTAGCATTCCATTGTGTAAAATGGGCCACACCTTTTTTATCCACTCATCTATGGGCACTTGGGCTGTTTCCAGATTTTAGCTATTGTAAATAACACTGCTATAAACATAGGGATGCATATATTCTTTCTGATTGGTGTTTGGGGATTCTTAGGATATATTTCCAGAAGTGCAATCTCTGGGTCAAAAGGCTGTTCCATTTTTTTTTTTTTTTTGAGGAAACTCCATACTGTTTTCCACGGTGGCTGCTCTAGCCTGCATTCCCACCAAGAGTGCACAAGGGTTCCCTTTTCTCCACATCCTCACCAGCACCAGTTGTTTGTTGATTTATTGATGGTAGCAATCCTGGCAGCTGTGAAGTGATATCTCATTGTAGTTTTAATTTGCATCTCTCTGATAATTAGTGATGTTGAGCATTTTTCTAGCATTATCCTACTTCCAAAAGCAGATAAAGACACTACAAATAAAGAGGATTATAGGCCAACATCCCTGATGAACATAGATGCTAAAATTCTCAACAGAATATTAGCAAATCAGATCCGACAATATATTAAAAAGATCATACACCCTGACCAAGTGGGATTTATTCCAGGAATGCAAGGCTGGACAATGTTTGCAAGTCAATAAATGTGATACATAAACAAAATGAAAGATAAAAATCACATGATTATATTAATAGATACAGAAAAAGCAATTGATAAAATTCAGCACACGTTTATGATAAAAACTCTCGGTAAAGTGGGAATATAGGGAGCATACCTCAATGTAACACAGGCAATATATGACAAACACAGAGCCAACATGAGACTCACTGGGCAAAAACTACAGGGGTTCCCCTCTCTTGA